TTAGTGAGTACGGTACATGAATTATAATATTTTCTTAAATAACAACGTTTATCAGAGTTGTGAATGACTGTGGTAAATTTTATTACGAGACAATGCAATTGCGATGTAAATATACAGTAGATATAATTATGTATGCAGCCGTGACATATCGATTGATAAATATTATCAATGTATTTTTATTCGTGACATTTTGATTATGTTGTCTTATATTCGTTTTCTCTATTAATATATCTTATACATAAAAAGCAAGTTAATATGAGATCGCAACAAGTTGCTTTTTATGTGATGCTGTCAATTAGTTTATCACCTTCCTTGTTAGCACGCATCAATATCTTCTCTTTGTAATAAATTATATCTAGATGCTGCTATTACCAAAAGCAAAAAAAATTTTTTTTATTGGAGGTGGCAAACACGACACGCTATTAAATATACTTAGAGCAAACATAATAAGACTCTATTGTTGTTAACCGTTTTACAGCACCTAATGTTAATTAAAACAACGTGAGAGTGTATTAAGTTCCAAAAACCAAACCGGTCATGATAATTTGATAAAACTCATAAACTGTTTGGTTAATCTGATGCGTATTGCGAGAAACGTTTTCATGTGGAAGATAAGTGTAATGTCTAAATACGATAATAAGTAATGTTATAATAAGTATACATCCTGTTTTATCAGAGGAGAGATAATTTTGAATTAAAATTTATAAGTCGTTAAATGCAAAATAATGAAGGATTTCAAATACTGTAAATTACTAGACATACGTATAAACAATTTCTGTGTTAATAATAATCTGCTATATTGCCTCTATTCGTTTATAAACCTAACTTTGGTAATTTGAGAAAACAAATAAAATTATAACTGTTTCTCGGTATAGACGTAATCTCAATTTTATAGTGATACAAGATACGCTTAACCAATAATAATAACTTGTTACACCCTCTGATTAACGTTCAGTACGTAGTTACAAAAGAAGCTAGTTTTAGCATATCAACATAATAACTTTATTTATTATCTTCTTCCGGTTAAAGTCAAGTGGAAACAACCATAAACGATAAGCTTTAAGTAACGACACAATTGCCAATAATGGTTATCAACAGCCCCCGTAACAAGACTAGCGTAAACGAAGGTAATTTTGTTCGTGCTCTAATTAAATTTCATAGTGTTTTAAGTAAAGTAGTAACGGATTATATTAAAAACTGTATTATATGAATTTCAACATTAAAAAAAAAAGAATGTTCTGAGCTGGTAATCTATCAAAATTTTTGTTCAAAAAAACGTTATTTGTATGGTAAGCTTTTGATTGGTTAGTAGTCAAATTGCGATTTTTGATTCAAAGTTTATGGTAACGATTTTTACTATATCCGTCATCGTTGTTTGTCTTTTGTTTGTTCTTTTGCTCCATCGCATCATTGACTTATGAAAACGCCCAGATTATTGTTAGTAAAGTGTAAGATACCATACATACTTGTACTCATTAATCAACACAAGCAATAACTGACGTGCTAATAACATAACGTATACAAGTTGTAGCTAATATTGACCGAGAACTGTTAGAGGCCTTCATTACAAATTGATCAAAACCCGAACAACCGATAACTTTAATATGTGTGATTATTTATTTGTTTATTATTGTACTAATTAGACGCACACGTTGAATTCGCTTTAACTTGTTGCTTTGTTCAAGATAAACCAATGCGATGAATAGCTTGTTTGGCTGAAACACTTTATAGCTTACGTTTTCTGACCTGAGCGAAATAATGGGCATGGCCGGCAAGATAAATTTTTCATATATTTTACGCTTACTAACTTGTTATTATCATCTTTAATCAGAGATTGACGCTACAAACCGAATCATTATATGCATAATATTATGTGTAAAAAATATTTGCAATGTCAATATTTTAGTTTCTGTATAAAAAGTCTGATAATTATGTAAGCAAATTTAACTTATTCGGTACGTTTGTGTTGACCGAAACAAAAAAAGTACAAATTACACCAAACAGAACGCAAATTTTGTGCCGGTCACGTAATTGATTCACGTTACTCTTTGAACTTTGTTTGGAAAAAATTAATATTAATTTCATTTAACACAAGATGTATTAGGGTGATGGATCTGCATTCGCACCCTTGGCATCAGCTGACATCGACATGCACATACGATTTAGTTACATGACGTCAATTCACAGCTAAACTAAAGCGTTTTGATTAGTCTCTTAGCATATGCGTAAATTTTGATTTTTTGCACAAAAATACTTTCTTTTCAAAGGCATGTTCCGAATATTTTATCACATTAATAATATTTAAATTTTGTAAGACCGGATATGTATTTGATGCTTAAATGTTGCCAACCATCACCATGCCTACCACAAAAATTGCGTTATAACAAAACATTCTCAGACCAAAACCTAATACGGTAAATAATATTGCATAATTACGGGGTTATCAAAGGTTTGTTGTGCATTAGTTACGAAAATTATTATATAACCGAAAAAGATGATAATCGTGAAATATGTATGTTTAGCAAAGTAAGTGTGACCACGGATACAAATATATATTCCGAATAAAGTTTTGTATATAGCACAATAATAAACAACTTTATCGACAAATCGGCCGACTATTCACTGATTTGAAATAGGCAAGGAATAAGGTGTTTTTTCATTTATCTGAAATAGGGAAAAATTTGCTACATTTAATATACGAGAGCTATATCTTGTTTTTACATGTCAAATGCATAAACCCTTTAATGTATGCAATTACGGTTATTTGATAATAAAACATGTTAAACGATTTTCCGTTTATGAAACAGGGTATTCGTACAAAAGAACGTTCTACCCAATTTCTGTAAATGACATTAATATACATAAACAATGTTGGTTTGTCAATAGATGTATTACTACGATAACAAATACAAGATTTGATAGATAACAACAATAAAAAAATTTTTTTATTTAAAATTATCGGGTATAACCTTGAGATGTTGAAGATTCTGGGTAAGATCCGATAACAAATGAATGTCCTCGTGATCGGTATTTGTTTATTACGGATTGAATTATTAAATAACGTCATTATAATTTATGACAGATTTTCGTAATAGATAGCAAAATGCATTATGTGGGGGGTGGCCTGATTAAAATTTGTAATATATTGTACGCCAATCGCTACTCAAATCTTAGAATTAGGTTCAATTTTCAAAAAAAAAAAAAAGAAGAAAAAGTAACGGCTTCTTATTGAGTCAAAAAAAAAGAGCATTCCTTGTCAATTGTTCTTACACAAAGTATATTAGGATTGAAAAAGACAACGTATATATTCGATAATACGCACAAACATGTTACATATTACATTGATATGTAGTTTAGGTAATATGCGATAAGGGGGAAAAGCTCATCATTATACATGTTAGGCAAAATAGATCGCCCGTGAGTATTTTTCTATTCATCATTTCTTTGTTCGGTAAATCTGAGTACCTTGACGGTTACTTGTAAGTAAGTAATTATTGGATAATAGTTGTGGACGTATGCATTTAGACCAAGACTGCTAAAAATTGTTCATATACATTCACCATACGCTGTAGGTATAGAAATTACATGTGGTTTAGTTATAATTAATGTGTTAGTCAATAGTATAGTAATTGGTTTGTCGATTATAATCTACCGATAACAAATAATAGAACACGGCATTGGACAATGATGAGTGATGGTGTGTGTGATAGTCTAGTCGAATCATTAGAAAAAAAAACTTAATAAAACAATGCACCTATTCTGTTCAATTTATTTAATAAAGCTGCATGCGTAACTTACCGTAAATAGACATTCACAATGGACACATGCTCGATTCTGTGGCACAAATCACAAATTATTATAATATAAATAATGTACCAAGTAGGTAACGTAACATTACATACGGCGTTATGACATTATTTACTGAATGTTTGTCTTTGTATGGTAACATAACGAATTGTCTCCTAGGAGAAATTCTCTTTACTAGGCAGGTAATGTTTTTTGAACAAAGTTTGGTATACGCTCACCAATGCAAACTCGGATAACAGGCCATTGAATTAAACCCATCAAACCATACCTATTCGTCATGCAAGCCCCAAACAATAATGTATTTTAGTTTCGGCTTTTTTCGAATGAAGGTTAATACATTTTTGCATACTTACAATATAGGCAATATCCGCTTTTCCCTTTTTCCATTAATAATGACATTCGGAAATTTCAACGCTTGTAATTCGATGTAATTTCCGAACAATGTGTAAAGTACATAAATTGCCGAATAGTTTATGAAATTAATTTCGTCCCATCAACGAGCCAATAAGGAAATGTAGCATTGCCCATATAAGGAAATTAGCCGCATTCTGCCATGTCATTATATTAATAATATGTCAGGTTTGCCGATACGGCAGAATATGGAAAAGGATGACACCCACCATGATAATACGATATGGATACAGCATTGTAATAATGCATTAAATTGATTTATAAGATATAAATAGAATACACATGATTTAAGACAATACCATTAGCATTAGCGATAACACATTAAGATCAGCATAAATCAAATATGACGTAACATAACATCCACTAATTCCCGACTAATTTATATTATTTTAAATTGCAATGGATTTAATCGCAAAACGATGAAATCTCCAGATACAATGAGGATCTCTCTTCACTCTCACAAAAAGCATGTTAATATTAACTTGTCAATTCCTCGCATTCTTAACTAAGAAAAGTAGCAAACGCTTTTTTGCATCTCATTGCTTTATATGAACCTCAGATCCACGAACAAACAAACATCCCAAACCCTGTAATCAACCAACCTAAAATTTTCTAATGAAGGAATATTTCTGCCGTACTACGTCTTACCAAGAATTAGTCAAGCCGTGGCTGGATAGGAAAAAACTTAAATAGACCCGAAAAACCCCCTCAAAACCCTTAAAACAAAATTATTATTCTTTTTTTTCCGAAAATCAACAAAATTTTTTGTAATATTATATAGTATGGGTGGCTGTACTAGCAAAGCATTAACTAATGATGAGAACGAGAACATAGTAAACATCAACGATAGGAGTATCGGTGCAGCTGGAAGCAGGACCGTTCCAAACAACACAAGACCACAGACGACAGCCACAACAGGGACGACAACAACGACCACGACCACGACCACGACAGCGATACCGATATCAACGATATCACCCACTATACCTACAATATCCATACTCACAGAATCAACAACGCATAATGCTTCTCATCCTCCCACACAAACACAAACACAAGCACCAACACTCAGCGAACAGTACTCGACCAATGCCGCCACATCAAGAACCAATATCTCACGAACGACTTCACGTAGCACACTCCGTTCAATTTTTCGCAGTCAGACCGGTTCGTCTAATCGTCTCCGGCCTACGTCTTCCGCCCGATTATCAAATCCTCTACCCGTCCCGGCACAATCGAATCGCAGGAGTTTCACCGGTTTTATAACTCGATATAGCAGGCGATGGCATAATGTGGCAAATAGTAAATATTTATTACCCAATGACGATGAGGAAATGGATAGGCTTCTGACACAGCATTACATGTTGAGATACGTGTGGGGTAATAACTTTTCGGCTCCTATCACTGGCATGTTGACTGGTGGGGGCGGTAGAATTCTTGAAGTTGGGTAAGTGGTTGAAAAATTGAACAAATATTTTACGCAATACAACAGTCAGTTTAAACTCGAGTCTCCACATGCAATGCTGTTTTTTTTTTTTTATTATTTGTTAACCTCTCACCCCCAATAATATCATAGTTGTGGACCAGGTAAATGCCGGTTTCTGTCATGTCATTATGATTTTTTATTTTTACATTAAAATACACAATACTTACAAATGTAATCTAAATACGGTTTAGCATTCTGGACATTGGAAATGGCGACATCGTTTCCACACTCGTTCTTCACCGGTGTCGATATGGTCGCTGTATACCCATCATCAATAAAGCCTCAAAATGTAACCTTCACCCAATCAAATATACTCGACGGTCTTCCATACGATAACGAAAAGTTCGATTATGTATATCAGCGATTTCTCGTATGCGCATATACAGCGTCACAATGGGAAAACGAGGTTATCAATGAACTCGTGCGGGTTTTGAAGAGAGGCGGATGGGTTGAAGTTGCCGAGTGTGATGGACGATATGAAAGTATGGGACCGGTGGCCAAACAGTTGAGTGATGCTGGTGAGTGAGAAAAAAGGGAGGGGGTAAATGAGTGTTGGTACGATTTGCGTAATGTCACAATGCATGATTTGTATTAATTAACGTTTCATCGATTGCTTGTTTGTCAGTTGCTACTCTACTCCGGTCTCATGAAATGGATCCGTATGTAAGTGAATCTCTTCGAAATCTTCTCGCCAAAGATTCTCACTTGACCGACGTAGCTGCACAAGAAATATCAATACCTGTCGGAAGTTGGGGTGGCAATCCCGGGAAACTGGTGAGTTGATTGAAAAAAAAAAAAAAAAAAAAAAAAAGGACAAACTGTGTGTTTGGAAAAAAATATATTAATGATGAAATTATTCCATGATATGCAGTTTGGTAATACCAATAAAAATACTAACGTGTTTCAATGTTTGTCCGTTGTTTGGTCGATAGGCACAAGACAATTTGATTGCTTTTTATAAAGCATTGAAAGCACCGTTATCTGATATGTTGAGAATACCGCTCGATAGTTTTGATGACTTGATGCAGAGTTTCAGTAGAGAAGCTGACCTGTACAGAACGAAATGGATATCGAGAAGAGTATACGCAAGAAAAATATGATACATCCCCTTCCTCCAAACACTCATTCTTCTCACCCCAATAATACGTCTATGAATGACTAAGATTTTTATAACTTTTGATTAATAACAATGGTTCAATGGACGAGTAAATATTAATATATACAAAACGGTTTTAAAAAAAAAAAAAGACATCCACAATATTAAGAGTCGTTAAACTCTAAAACTTAATGTTACATATAAATCGGGTATAGTTTTTAATATTAGCGTATATATTTTGTATTTGGTAAAGTTGAAAGTGGTTGATTGTAATATAACAAAAGTAGATAAATTAACAATTAAACGAAGGAAAAAAAAAAGCTGATCTGTTTATTTGCCTTACAAGGAGAAGGGCTGAAAATATATCACGTGATAAATTTAAATCAGAATCCATGCATACATACCACATAACGTATTACAGCTACATACATACGCTTGCTTCTTTATATGCATCATTAACAAGTGTGCTTCTTCCCCGTTTGTCGATTTTGTCAGCATGCATACTATTTAATTAATGTCTGCGTGTCACAATAAAATAACGGGCGATTCCTGTTTCAGGAACATCACTTAATATCTGCATTATGTTTGTATGATGCAAGATTGATATTAAGGATAACGCAATTAATTCGAAACCGGCAAGAGAGGTAGCAAGCCCTGAGAAAAAGAATTATAAGGATGCGATGCATGTGCTTCTCTTTGAATACGGTTAGACTATTGATTTCGTTTTTCAAACAATGTGCAAGTAAAATAAACAACAACAACAACAACAACAACAACAACAACAACAACAACAACAACAACAACACATACTTTTCCCGATGCCTTGTTACTCCAATTACCGTCTTACCCTTACTATTGTTACGCAAAACCAACATGTGCATTTGGATATATTGCAAGTAAAGTGTCAAAACGAAATGAGATGGGAAGAGAGAGTGAGTGAGAGGTGAGTGAGAGTGTGAGAGTGAGAGTGAGAGTGAGAGTGAACCGGAGAGGAAAGTGGAAATCAGAGAGTGGGAACAAGGACTGCCGTAATAAATAATTCACATCAGTACGGTCATTTGCATAGTAATATCTATTTAAGGTTCTTACAATCGTTATCGTTGAGCAACCATCGTTTATTATCGATACAAGCCACTGCATACTAAAAAACATGTATGTAAAATACACATTACAAATTAATCAAATACATTCCAATCCGCAATGATTCCACATACCTGAACAACTAACTAGAGTCTTTTTGGCATCTCACACTCGTTTTGGATTCGTGAATGATAACAAAGGGTGTTGTGATCCTTTTTTCTTTCAATGAACTGGGGACAAGGAAAAAAATTTCAAGAGTATAACAACTATTCCGGAATAAAGCGATCTGAAAAATGGGTAATGTTACCCCATATTAACATAATACATAGTGCAGAGAGATTGGGTGTGGATGAATGTTGTGCGAACGTTGTTGCTGCTGCTTGGGTTATAGATAGATGTGAGGTTACATGGATTGAGCAGGTTGGTTGTTCCTAATGTCAATACGTTAAATAAATAGATTCTTCTTAAGATTACATGAACACTACGCGGAGACGTATGTATATATACCTGATTACGGCCGAGAAGATCGATTAAACTCGTCTATAATGTTTTGACGTTTACTCATTCTCCTTTTTTCGTCGTCGTATCCATTTCTCATTCTTTGTAGTATTCTTTGTTTCTCTTTGTATTGGGAGAGAGAGAGACGGTTTTTTGATGGGCACAAAATGTCGGTTATCTCTCTGTATTCCACCCCTGATGCAATACCATGGTATTAAGATCATTCCACGAAGCATGCGTTAGGTCAATGCCTGCAGTATGCTGTTATGCTGTTATGCTGTTATCGTACCAATTGGAAAGTTATATGGTCTATTGAATCAATCGCTTCAATATTTTCTTCTTCTGACATGCCATTGTCTCCGGTGCCCATTCATGTATGGTGTATCAATTCACAAAAAGCAATACGAAATAAAAATGTCGAATTATACCTTTGTATTGGAACAATATGTGTTAGTAATCAGTAAAGGTGAATTTGTACAAACGGTTCTTGAATAAAGGACTGTGATATATGAAAAAAAAAAAAAAAACTCTTTCTCTTTCTCTCTTTCCCACTCTTTCTTTTTCGACACTTTTACCGACATATTAAGCAATTGCAAAGACATTCAGGAAATTTTGATAGCGTTCACACAAGAGACTTTCTCAACTATGGTGAATCCCATAGATTATTTTAGTATCATACTCAGTTCGAAATAAAACATTCGCTCACTTTATTATTTTTTACAGCACAGCTCGACATTGTAAACAAAAAAATGCGTGGACAAATACATTGGCAAAGAAGAAAAGAGATTGTGAATAGGACATCATAATAACTAGAGTTGATAATTTGGGAATGGAAAAAGATAAAAGAACAATATTATGAGAATTGCTAAAATCGAAATGGTCTACAATAATGCTACGGGCGGTGCGGTGCTTTTGATGAGGAGTGGATGGGGGAATGGTGCATCGGCTGATATCATTCAGTGTTACTTTCTCACGTTTACTTAATTCTAATTACCCAATCCTATTTTACGTCACTTGGACATTGAAGGCCATAATTGTTGAGATGTAACATTCAAAAAGGGGTATTATGGTTACACTAACTATGAAATCATAATGGAGACTTTTTACCCCGACCCGATATGTATTGTACAAAAAGCGGATGGATGGAAATAAAAAAATTATTATAACTAATAATCGACAACTACAATTGAATTTGGTTATCGCTTTTCGGACCATTCATTTCCCTTTTTATTTACAGAATTGTCAAAGAGATCTTTCTTTCTTTCTTTCATTCATTCACCGGAATGGTTAGCGGAGAAGAAAAAAATTTTACTGTTCGATTATATTTACTTTTGTATTTATGTGAGACATTCACATCTCGAATTCGTCTAGCAAAGCCCAAGAAACCCATTTGCTAAAAATCCTTTACAAAGGACCCCAACGTAGTATGATCGACTGCTTCTGTCACAAGGATTTCATGCTCTCTAATTTATCATGACCAATCTGATGTAGTGCTTCGTAATTTTGAGGCACTCTAATTGATATGATGTGTGACGAAAACAAGGTTAGCGGGGGAGGGGGGTGAATGAAAGGGGTGGTTGTTGTGGTTGTGGTTGTGGTTGTTGTGGAGGTGGTGGGGCGGAGCGGGTGTTAATGAGAGGTTGATATGACTCGGCGATGCATGGGTGGTAGTCCCACTCTTTTTCCCTGAGCGAGGCATATTAAAAATTGTCAAATGATTTTAATTAATTTCAATTACACTTGTCCCATCTTTGCAGTCCGTATTAATAATAACAGGGTGTGTGTTATGTTAGAGTAACAATCAATCGAAGAGTCAGTCAAGGTATTCCATTCGATTCCACACCCCCATCCCATGATACCAAGAATTGTTTAACGTATACAAGATCATCAACTAATCGTATAAACGTCATACAAACACATTCTATTTCCTAGTAGAGCAATTACACAAACCTTGCCACGAGTATGTCTGTGCATGTTACTAAAGCGACGAACGGCTAATGGCGAGAGCACATCAAAAGTTTGGAGATTGTTTATTTTATCGACAATCAATATCATACATACTGGTTACATCTATCGTAGAGCGTTGGTTTCATTGGCTCTGGTAACAAAGAGCAAAAAATTTCATTACTTTTGTGTAAATAAAAGTTAAGCATACGGTATTTGCAGAAAAGAAAGTTTTATATTGAAATCATATACGAATCATACAAACGCTTTTTTATCATAACAGAAAAAACATATACACACAATACTTTCTCTCTCCAATAATGTTGATGATATCCAGTTAATATATCCATTTCAAGCATGACTTATTTGTAATTCCATCCCTTTTACATTTCACTCCATCCACTCTTCTTTCTCTTTCTGCGCTTTTACTTGTTTCCCTTTTTCTTTTTCTTTTTTTTTTTTGCTACAGTTTACTGTTACACCCTTTTCTTTTTTTTTTTTTTTTGAGAACGGCAATTCTTTTCCGTATTTCCCAGTCCGATTAAGGCTCATATGACGTCACACACAATCGCTTGCTTGTTTATCGGGGGAGGGGGGTTGAAAAGTCAAGACACCATGGTGATAACCAGTCAATTGCCGAGCCCATTACGATTACAACAAGCGGTTTCCCTTAAAAGAAACCACGTCACTGTCAAATACGAGTACAAAATTAATCGACCGCGGTCTGGAATTGGGGAGCGGAGGATCTGTTTACTAAATAAACTCTTATAACTGATTATCACTAAACTTACTTGTTTATAACAACGCCACAAACAAAACCATAATTTTTGCAATTTCCGAAAACTCTTGTCACATAAAAGAAAGGGTTTACTACATAGGAAAGAAACCACGCTTCGACGAACAAACAAGTTGGCGTTGTTATTGTAATGTATTTTTTACGGTAATCCATTTTGCCTAGAGCAGTTTTCAAATTACTATACTTATATAGTATCATGGCTCGCGCTGGTTACGCGCCACAAACGTATAATAGGTTAACTATTGAGAAGAAAGAAAAAGAACGTTGGAATTGAGTTGGGAAAAAAAACCTAGATATTTTGATACTCGGAGTATCGGAAATGCTAGAGTAAATAAACATTAATATACAACGTATTATGCGATTTAATATAACCAAATATATTAGTATACATTGTTTAATTATTAGATATAGATTATCATTATAGGCAATGTGACATACTGCGATATAATTTTGTAGGCAATGTGATAAAGACACGAGTATTTACAAAACTTGTTTCTTAACCAAACAGCGGTTGCTGCATTGTAAAAACATGTATTATTGCGGATGGTTTGTTTGCATGTATATTTACAAAAAGTATATTGTAGAAGTTTCATTTAGCAAAGTCTCTTAACATGTTTTGACACCTTGAAGGTACCTATCACATTTTTTGTGTGTCAACTTTAACGAACAATATTAAGACATGAAAAAATACAGTTAATTGTTTTACAAACTATTTTAATATTTACCCTTATCTTTAACTCTTAGACTCTGCCTTTCCGTGTAGTGACTGGATACGGGATATGAGACTTTGACAAGTTATAATGTGTCGACTTGCACACAAAACTATAACGTTTGTAATAAAAAGTAACGGCCGGCGTTTGTATCATTTAATTTCCAATAATATTCCATGCTCAGTATTACATAAATACGTGATTACACAAAAAAAACGTGTTTCGCACAAATTTTAACCGAAGGGTGGTATTATCCTTATTATTATTGATGAATGGTAACCCGACTCTTGTATACTCATTTGTACACTAGTAAACATAAACTGAATTATAACCTACTTTGGTTATATGATTAATATAGCTATTCTTGTCGTATCTACGAAATCAGTTTTTAAAAGATAACAAACGATAAGCTTTGTTTCTTCTTCTTGCAATTATGAATTTTATTATTCAATTAAGAGTCTCACGATAAAACTCTTTAAACCAAGAAAAAGATAAACCAATATTCGAATTACTACTAAGATAGCAAATTATAGTTAAAAATACAATAAAAAATCCTTAAAAATACAAATTATCTAACATCTGCTACATTAAACCACACAGTTTATTAGTTAAAACTTAGGAACAATCTTGTAATTTATCAAGATTTATATATCTTTTAGAGTAGTTGGTAAACAGATCACTAGAACAAAAGTAAGTACGTTATATCATACAACATAAAAAAAAACCATGACCAAAAAAAACAAAACAAAACAAAAACAAAAACAACTTACAAATTCAAAACCAGAAAATAAAAGTAACAACATTTTACAGAGAAAAACACGTTTAAAAGAAAAGAGACGAGGTTAAACAATTCAACTATAAAGTAATCTACTTTCAAAGTGACTAATCAAACTTTGATAATACAGTTTTTTTTTGTTTCTACCAAAAGTGAATAATTACTCAGCGTTTTTAAGATTCTTTTTTTGCAAATCAACTTTTCTCTACAAACATACTGCTCTCTCAAAGTGCAGAAGATTTCATATTATTATCAACACCATCAAACATCACCATCAACATCAACATCAACATCAACATCAACATCAACAACCAACATTCATAACACATAATAATTTCTTATTAAATTTACTTAATCACAGATGCATACATGGTTGTGTTGTGGAGTATCGTAGTAACCAAACTCATACGGTGTCGTTGCCTGTGTAAAAACCTGCGACCCTGGCGAATCGATAAACGTGATCGGTAACGACGGTTCCATAGAGGGCGAATACAGCAAGTCGTCGTGTCTGCCCGGTGACGCATTTGTAATCAAGACGCTCTCCAAACCGGTCATTCCTGGCAAGCCGACGTTGTAAATTATGCCGATGGGTCTCGAATATATTGGACTGACTTGTTGACCGACCTGCTTGCACCGACGTCGCTGCGATGGAAAAAACTTTTCGTGCATCTTTTTAGCTTCTTTGGCCATGAGTTGACAGGCTTCTTTGACTCGGGGCGATTCGGTTTTCCATGCGCTCGAGGCACGTTTTATAATGTCTCGCATCGGGCAGTCCCAGTACCCGCGCGCTTGCAGTTCTTTCGCATAGGCTATGCGGTAGACGAAAAAGGCGTTTTGTGATCGGGTCGGAGTTCGGCCGTTTCGCTGTCTCGGTTTCAGGTCTTCGTGTTCTACTTGTAACGGAAGAGACACTTTTATGTCATCGGGAAGTGAACGATCTTGTTGATCGGATATGTTGATCCATGTATAGTCCCGAACTTGAGTTGACATTATTATTAGTTGTATTATTTGGATGTATAAGCGTAAATAAAAAGTAGAAAAGAAACAAGGTAAGGTTTTTTGTTTGTCGGTTTGGTAATAAGAAAAATGGGTATTTAAGCGTGTGAGTGAATATTGTATTTACAACTTTCAGGAATCAGAATTTTTTTTGTAACGGTAAAATTCTGGATATGTGGATGGGGGCGGAGAGCTGTATAGTTGTTTATATGCGTTTTTAAATCTTTAATGGGATATTTTAGGAAATGCTTGTTTCGGTTTTTTTTTTCTCTTTTTTTTTTGTCGTTATTTTCTTTTGTTTTTGTGTTTATAGAAAAATTTTCTCTATCAGTTGTGATGGGGTTTTTTTTGTTGGCTGAGGAGTTTTTACCGTAGATGGAGTCGATATAGATTTATACATTTTCGACACTTGCTGATAGTGCTACAAGTGTGCCGGCCCATATTTGGGTAGCCAAAGGTATTCGTTTTCTGCTTGGTTACACAACTGTAGTAGAGCTTCTGAGAATATTTAAGTGTGCTTCTATAAAATGTGTAAAAATTTGTAATTACATTTATGGCGATGTTTTATTTGATAGTCGGTATTCATCATTTATGGTGATGAGGTCGAGTGGGTGATAGCGTTGACAGGGGGCGATGTGGGTAATCACTATACTTTTGAGGCGAGAGGGATAGACAGTTGTGATAACCAAACAACGGGTAATAAAAAACTTACTTTTGGTCAAACTTTATCAAAAAAAAAAAATAAGCTACAAGAAATAATTTATAGAGGAGAACAATGGGTCATGTGTGTGTGTGGGGAATATGATGTATATACAATGGTTTATATGCACGTAGTCTATGTATTCTATTGCAGCAGTTGTTTATTTATCTCTGTTATACATCATATATGCAAAACTAAATTTCAAGTAACGTCTGGGTACCTGAGTGGTGGGCGGATACTCTACTTAATGTGATACGATCAGTAATAAGCATATAGTATTTTAAATATGAAGTGTTCAATTTACATCGTAGCTTATCGTTTACTGTCCTCCTGTCTTAATTATTGTTGCAATACAACCATGTTGTGATGCCTATCAATTTGTTTTTGTTTACCAACGCATCAATCTCTGCATCAAATTCGATTCATTTTACGGGAGGGGAAAAAAAAAAAAAAGAGTAGAGAGAGGAAAGAGAAATCGGAGGATGAGGTCCGTATGCCCAATATCAGGTTTTGGTACTACGATAACTTGTAACACAATATAGATATACTATCAACTTTAGCGTCTGCATTGCATGTATTATTAAGTTTCTTTTGATGGTTAAAATTGTACTATCGCAGATCCATCCATAGCATGGTATGCAAACTCTTATTACTGTATTTTATTAAGTGTCACATTAGCGGTTAATGTTCTTTGTTCAAATTTTTCACATCCGAGATATATACAGTTTTTGGTTATACATTCGTTACATCTACATATCTATGTGATTTCCCTTCCATGTCTTAATTGGTAATAATCATATTTAGTCATTATTACCAGACAAAATTGATGTGATATTTTGAGCGTTTATTAATCACCAGGTAAATAATGAAAGAAAAAAAGACTAGAGCGAATAAAAAGAAAAGGAAAGGAAGGGAAAGCGGAAAGAAAAGAAGACAAGACTTTTCCCTCTCCCCCTAGCAGTCACTTGACCATGACATAATATCAATTACCTACTATATTTGTTAACGGTACCCTCCCGCAGCTACTGCATAACATTGTTCCCATGAATTATGCATAGATTGTTTAGTAGTAGCATTTTTATAAACCGTTTGTTTTAGTAGTGGTAATTAGTAAGCCTTTCATTTGTTCTCTAGCGTCACCTCATATTGAATCGTCCGGTGCACGTAATTAACCATTATCCACTAGAAAGTGGACCGCAATTAACCGATGCTAGACTTTCAATATCATTAGCGTACTGGTTTAGCCGTTGTATTCCCACTATAATTGTATATGCCGTTTGTTGATTTTCACTTTACAACCTCTGAGTTGTTACTCATAATGGTGATACTCAATAAGACCTACTTTCAATTCATTAAAATTGTTTACCACTATCATTAAGGTAACTGTAAAAAGGGGATATATTTTTGGAAATTAGAATCAATTAATTTTTTGACTTCCTGCGGGCATAGATATGGTCAATTGATTATCGACGGCGGCATACATACCATACTATCATATCAGTTAACCCGCAACTTATCCATCTATCAACCTTTCCAAATATATTTCAACAAAATAAATCCTCTTTTTCCCGCACTTTTGTGGGCCCGTGTACCGTTTAGTTTGCAAAGAATACAATAAAGAATACGATCGTCACTATCGCAAAAAACTTGCTCCATTTTAAAATCCTTCTTAGTACTTCCCGCACACACATACTATACTCTCACACACATACACACACACATACACACACACACTATATACGCATGCATACGTGTACGCATGCACACACACATGCCTGTTATCCAACAAATATTTTATCAATGGAAAATGGCGTCTGCATTCCTTGGCAATGATTTTAACTCGAAAGGGTTAAATTACCCTTTATTATTATCGTTTTCATTTGCTAAACTGGATTAAAGAATGCTGACGCTTGTATTCGACGGATGCTGTGTGCGAGCTAAGGCGTTTTCATTATTAATAAAGTATGATCGATTATGCATACCCAAGATAATGCTTATGCACATAACGTTTGTTCTTTGAAAAAATGTACCGTTTTGGTCAATACGCTCACTGTAGACTATGTCATCATACGCAATCGTAAACCTATAATTGTAAGCACAAAAAGGAATGATTGCATGAAAAATTGCGTGTTTATCGAGATTAGGATATACGGAGTGAATATGAGATTGCGTAAGAGAGGGGCGGTAGACTAATCCGTGCGTTGGACTACGATGTAAACGGAAAGTACTATTGGCAGGGCTCAGCCTATCTCGTAAAAGGTTAACAGGCTTTATGATTTGACAATGACCTGTTTGCAATCCGGATTGTGGCTGATGATCGACAACATCTGAATTTTTGATTTTTGGGGTATTGTCTATCATATCATGTCATGTCATGTTATGTTACAGAAAGAAAGAAGAAGTGTTGAAAGTGAAAAGAAGAATTCTAGTCTGTGTGCCCAATGTGATTTGTTTTGTCATTCTGTTTTCAATTTTATTTCCATTCGGAACAACTCGCTTGACATTTCATTCGACATATCAAAAACCGGTGAGCTGATGTTTGTTTGTCAAACAAACGTAATGTTTCGCGCAAAATAGCAGATTAAACAAAGATATGACCCGCGTCCAAATCCATTCATATCCGGGGTCGAACGAACGAAAAAGAAACACTTTCTTAGTCATTGCCGATTTGCACAAAAAGCAACTTGATACATTCCCGGGATGACAGTATGGTGTGTTTGTTATCGTTTCACCGACATTCGTCCACAATGAAAAGAGGAAACATAACTAGCGCGAGCCGGATAATCGTCATTTCCAAAAGGAAAAACATCAAAAGATCTGTATAATCTTAACACACAAGCTAATATTCCGGATACAGAATAACGAATGCTGGTAACGGAAATCGCAATATATGTGCAAACATGTGTCTATAAATATCTGCTGATTCGATTATCGATTAGAATGATCATGTGATTACAAACTTCGCATAACTGTGCGAGTGTAACAAATCATGTCGATTTTTACCCCAATATGTGGGTGATTGTCTTTGCTGTGCAGGACACACAAAACCATTTAACATTGTTCTCTATTGTCATTAACATGTTAAAATAAGAGTTCACAATTAGCATCGGAATAGCTAACAATTAAACAGATGACAATCATCGAAAAGTATACAGATTTTTAGAATGTCTATGATAGCCTTGTTACTTTCAGAGCTCTTGTCACTGACACGATAGCTTTTTTGCACGAGAAATGTCTCATTTTTTGAACCAAGTTACAATTCAATAAATAACCATCCTATTCGAGTAACGAATGTTGTATAAATCTTATCAACGTTTGTTCTCTGTTACAATAACTTTATTCAATCATTGTTTTTCCCTGTCTTTCAGAATGATAAAACTTAATCGTCTGATTTTGAGTAAAGACTTTAGTTTGCAATTCAACCACCGTTATTGTTATGGGTAAAGTTTTTTTGTTAGCAACAATGCTAACATGCTTCAAGTTAATAATTAAGGCATGAAACAGATAATACGAAAACGTTCTGTTTTTACAATGTCTGGTTTGTGAAAAAGCTTACAAACGATCAAACATGATATTGAGCATGCGCTTTTATATTTATATTACTCATAATACGAGCTGTCTGTCTATTGTTGGCAATTTGATTTTTCTATCATTTCTATCATTCCGAGTATAGCAAACTAGTATCAATTACCAAACATTGAGGAAACGGCAATCGTTTGTTCACTCATTTACTGAAACAGGTAAGCAGGCGGTTTTATGAGCGGAGAATACGTATTAAGGAGAACCGTTTTTGAATCAGTCAAAATATAGAACTGAAACGAATGCCGAAATTTTGCCACATTCACAGACAGTTTTTATAGTTTGCGCCGTATCCCGATTATGTGATGGACAAGGTTTGGTATTTTGACATCACCGTATTAAGTTCCACTGTCTTCAAGTATTCAATTAACACTAACGGTATCGTTTTGTTTTGGAAATTTGACCATTGCCCATTTACTCGGACCCATTATTGTTATCCTACCCTTTTACAAATACAAAATTTCCATCCTGATTCTAGTTATGCTATGTAACAGTAATCGAGATGTAATATTTGTTTATCCTGATTAATACTAACATTAATATCTATAAACCTAAATTATTGGATATCCTTCTTCTGCAGACATTAGAACACAAGCTTTCCATGTCATCGCTAGACTGCATATGATTGTTACGTATTAGAGCACTACTTATGTCTAATACAAAGTGCATTGTATTCATGAAGGAACAGGTGCGAGTTACAAAAGAAATTGACCCT